CATCATTTGGACCTTGGCCCAACATTATGATGATGCACCAATAATAAGTAAAAATTGTATCAATACATTACTTTACACTTTTTTTCTTTTTTTTTTACCAGACCTTGTAGATGGCTGAACGGGCTGCAGCCGCCAAGCCAAGCACAATGCCGCCAAAAGTGGACATCTTGGCGATGCCGTCCATGTAGGTGAGGAGTGCGATGCCCGTGTTGCACAGGATGACGGCCACGATCCTTATGCCCACAAACTGGTTGTGTAGGATGACCCAGGAAAGGAGGTAGACGAAGCCCACGCTGGACGCGTACAGGGACATGACCATCGTCGAGTCCAGGATCCGCAGCGACAGCATGTACATGTAGTTGGTGATGACCCAGAGTCCACGGGGAAGAACAGGATCCATCCGCAGAACTTGACTGCATGTACAGCACATAATATCATTCAATAACCAAAAGTATGAATAATAATACTAATTATAATGAGGAAGCAAACATGCTGCAAAGCAGCAGCATCAGAAAGTACATTTAAAATACAGTGGTACAATGCTTTTTTTGTACATGTATCAATGATGAGAGCAAGGGACTGACATTTATCAATCAACAAGTGGCCGGAAACAGAGGGGGGTGGGGAATGAACACACAGTTTAGGAGACAGACAGCAGGTACAACAACAAGAAACAAAAATAAAATACACAAGAGGGATCAAGACTCACAAGGACTGAGTCCCCGAGTGTGGAACTGCTGCGCAGCCTCAAGCAACAGTCCTTGAACTGTGCCCACGTTGCGGATGAGCACAACCTGGATTAGCAGGAAGAAGGGCATGAAGAGCACGATCCACACGGTGCATACACCACGTCGTGAAGAACAGAGCATTGTAGCGCCCAACTGCCATTGACAATCAGTCATCCGCCATGAAGAGCCACGTTCTAGTTATCGTCTTCACACCACTGCCGTCCTTGTCCCCGACAATGGCCTCCTCTGCAACGTCGTCAGACGCATCCATGCCACTGCAAATCAATATCAGTGTCAGTCATTCAACTTTTCTTTTTTCTTTTTGCTTCTTGAACAGTGAGGTATGATGTGGCGGGGTGGACAAAATAAATACAATGGTAATATGATGATAATCAGTGCTAGTGCTGGATCGTAGGATGAGGTCACGTACTCAAGCGCTGAACTAGCAGCACTGGCGGTGGAGTTGCCGGCAGCAGGGTGCCAACAATGGCAAATGCAGCCAAATTTGTTGGCGTGTGTGGCGCCGACCCAGGCAACAGCCACCAAAGAAGTGACTGTGAGCCCTACGACCATCTGCCAAGCCACCTTTCCGGCCAGCTTCCGCCGCAAATCCTGCTGCTGGCCACTGTCGCCCTTGGAGTTGCTGCTGTTCTCACAATTTTCGTTGCCGCATCACCACTTAGCTTACTCCTAGCGCCACTGCTGGTGGTGGTGTCCGCGCTGTTGATGGATTGCGAGTGAAACATGAATCCATGAACAATACACTGTTCTGCACTTTGCATAATGCACACATCATTCAATCACTCACCAGTTGTTGTTGTTGCTATTATTACTAATATTATTGTTGTTCTTCTGCTGGTCTGCGCAGGATTCCACATCCACTGACGGTGGTGCTGCAGTGGAGCAAGAAGGCAAGCAGAGCATTATTTTATCGTATTCCACCATCAAGACCCTCTATTGGCGCCTCAGCAGATTAAAATTAATAACCATATATAACACTGCACTATAGCTGTCTTTGGAATCTATATAGTACTGGACTATACTGGCATTCTCAGTAGAGTATAAAGTATACTTGTTGGATGCTCCACATTCAAATCAACTCACCAAGGATGCTGCCACTGGTCGAAGCAGATTCATTTCAGAGACGCCAGTTTTCCGGGGTGGGAATGGCAACAAACGTTTGGCAGCCCCGGTCGTGGAAGACAGCTTAGTATTGTTTGCCCCGCCAGCAGCAGACATCTCAGCAGGTATTGCTGGCACGGGTGTCGTTGTTGAGTTGGCCGTTGACGATGATGACGTCACAGCATTACTGGTTGCCGGGCTTGTCCAGCAGCTCACATTGTCAGCAGACACAACACAGAGCAGCTGTTGGTCATGCATTGTCACAGATGCTCTGCCGTCCATGGCACTGCTTGTGCCAATCCCGTTGTCGGCGTTGTCAACAGGAGATAGGTCCTTGGTGCAACTAAGGACAACGGCAGGGACGTCGTCAGGAAGCTCTTTTTCCTGCTGCGGGCCAGGACTGCTGTCATCAGAGGATGGGTCTGCGCCTTATTGCCGCCCCCTGGACGGAAACCGGCTTTCACTGGTGGGGCAGATGACTTCACACGGCCGCTGTTCTGCTGATGTGGCTCTGCTAGATACCGCAAGTATATACACAGTTATACCGTCAACAAACAGTCCTTTATCTTCTTACCCTCAATGTCTATACTGTGGGCAAACATGTAAAAGGCAGAAATTATATGCAGCATATGATCAAGATGCTGCAGTGCAATTCCCATAGTGATCGTCAACAGTTCAACGGAGGATGTTGAACGCTATCAGCATTCCAAGCCCACTCTTAACTGACCTATAGCATATACACCTTTTCCACCAGCGAGTCCCAGCGAATAACAGCCCTATGGTAAAACAATGTGAAGTTTCACATCTGTATGCGTAAATGAATGGGAGTCATCGTCATACATTATACATTGCCTTCCTATATGGCTGATCTATAGAGTATAGACATCCAAGCATCAATCTCTGGAAAATTTTAAAATATGAATCTAATTTTGATTGCATCAAGATTTTAATTTGAAACTTCCATCCAATGAATTGCTGCTATACTGAAAATCAGAAGCAATCATGCATACAAAAAGTCAAATTAATTTCTTCGAATGCAATTGTGAATATGAACTTATACTGGGTCGATATGCTCGTATATACACGTCACACGTCACAGATTCCAACTCAAGGCCCAACAGGCACTCAGCACAGGTTGAAATTAGTAAAAGACACGTAGTATTTTTTTTTAAAGCGCGGTTCTTAATAGTGCGGTGTACTTCTCTTGAATGCGCGGGACTCTATTTAATCCATTATATCAGACCAGTAAAGGTGATGCTGCACCGCGCGATAGATTGAAGACATGGGAACGGCCATTTTGTTCCACAGGCATCATTCTATGTCGATAGTTCTTCGTAATACCATACCTTCCTCTCCGTTCAGATGTCCAACTCACTCATATTCAGTGTGAAAGATTCACCAGAAAAGAATTTGTTTGATGGCATTGAATGCCAACATCCAGGTACACTCATCACAGAATGTGGAGAGATGATTCAGGGGGATGGGGAAGAACCCTGCAGCAGTTCACGCATGCCCGTCTGTGGCAGCACTAGTACAGCTTTACCCAATGGGTCACAACAGTAACCCCAATGCATCACGTCGCGGCACCACCCGCAGCGGGACCCTTAACAGCAACATCTAGGTTACTATCAGAGAGGCGCCAGCACCCAGATTATCCTCCCACCCAGGCTTTGCCAGGAAGGGGATGGCTATGAAAATCGGATCAAAGGTGCGCGAATTCAGAGCAGTGAGATTCATGTACTCCGTGACTTTTGACGCGATCACTTTCGTTACATTTTGACCTGACGTTGTGAAGAGTGTAATGCAATATTGTGTTGCGGGAATCTCGGGTTACGGAGTTGGAATTTGAGAATTAAATTCTCCTTTCAAAGTTACTCTGGCCGAGGACTCTTATTAAACCTTATTAGTGATTGCGTCAAAAGTCAAGGACCGAATGAATCTCGCTCCTCTGAATTTGCGCACCTCTTGTCAAAACGTCACAGCCATCCCCTTCCTGGCAAAGCCTGGGTGGGAGAATAATCCGGGTGCTGGCGCCTCTCTGATAATAACCTAAATGTTGCTGTTAAGGGTTCCGCTAGGGTTCACATACTGTATTCATAAATTCTGAGTATTCAACCGGCGGAAGCAGAGACAAACCAAAAATTTCTGCGAAACCGGAAAAAAATGAAAGTGATGTAATTTGTTTCTCAGAAATCAATGGATCGCTCTTCTCTCTTTGTCGATGCAATTGAACTTTTGCAGAGTCTGGCCGATGTGCATTCAAAAGGTTGTTTCCTGATTCCGTAGTTGCTGATTGGACTTGTACCCATTCTCGGCCATCTGTATACTGGTTTTTCGTGTGAAATTGTGCTATCGATTCGTATGTCTAAATAGGTTGGTTGACGGTCGTGCTGTCCAAAAACTATTGCAAACCTCCTCGTCATCTCTATCAGCAGCCGTATTGACGGCGGTTGTGTGATGTTCAAAATCGTGAGCCCTGCTTGGTGCAACCTCACAATTGGAAGAAATATAGCACGGCGCCAGTATTAGAGCAGTCCGAGCAACGAGCGTCAGCCAGCGGCGGAGGTCTTCATCTGATGCATGTTGACCTCAATTCCGCGCCCATGGCACTCATCAACACGACAGTGGATCCTGGAATAAATCTGAATCATTGCCCATCTGGAAAAGCATGGGGAAAGTTTTGTCGGTATGTGTGGATTAGCCCTTTTCTTTTAATAATTTGGAAAGATTGTTCCATCAGGATGTGGTATTCTAGCTTTAGCACAATTGACAATGATTGACTTGTTTCAGAATCTCAAAGGAAGTCCATAGCCCAAACAATCCTGTTGAAGAAATCACAAGATTGGATATAGTGGAAGGTGGCAAGAAACTTGGCTCGGTCAACGGAGGAGGGGTCCCTGTTAGGGTTGCGTCGGTGCCACCTGATAAGAAAGAAGGGGGTCATTCCCAGAAAGGTGTTGGCTGTGAAACGAAGAATTATCACTGTCGAAAGAACAGGTCTTCCTCGAATCACCTGAGTACTTTGTGTTCCCCCCAAATCAAGTAAGCATCATCAAGCGGAGTTGCGTGAGAAGAAAGAAAAAAGATTATTTAATACGTGGTTCATGGTTAGGTGTGGGAACGGGTTGATTTGAATCGACATCGTCATCAATGGTTTGGATTATCGTTTTATCTGCCGCCGCTGGCATGTTCGTATCTGCTGCCGACCCCCGTGAATGTTGTGCCCCTCAACACATTCCCTTCGCCAAGCGTGCGGATGCAGATGAAGCAACCTGCCGGTTTGCACACACGGACACACCTCATAATAATGCACTGCCACCGCCGCAATATCAGCAAATTCCGCCTCACCCGAGTTTTTTGCGCCCGTTCATTTTCCAACGTTTGCTGCACTTCACGCCTTCCCCAGGATCTTCCGGGACTTGTGAGCCAATGGGAGTGATCCCGCACAACATGAGAGACTTGCGGATGTTTAGTGTTCCTCCACCACTTGGGGAGCAGCGAGGATCAACGATGTTGGGTGAGTGTGTTGCCCATCATGTAGAATGAATCGGTGGCTACGGTAAAAAAATGGTGTATCCACGCAGTGCATCAGTTTTTGCGCAGTTCCGCGAGCATTGGCAGCGGTTGCCAGCATTGCGCGGATTTGTTGGTGGCAATGTTCACTTGCCCTTTTAGCTGCCTGCAAACTTGTTGCAGCAGTACGGCAATACACTGGTGAGGAAGAAAGAACAATTGTAAGACCGCCTCTTCATTGTCACTCGTGTTCATCATTGTGTGGTCTTGTGTAGGTGAGTCCGTTTGATCATGTGGAGAGCGTGCCATCGAGAGGCGGTGAAGCAGAGAGGTTCTCGGCTCTCTTCTCTGAAATCTGGTCATTGTATGTGAGCTCACAGGAATCGCAGCAGCGGCCCGAAGAGAAACTTCAATTACAGCAGTTTTGGAACAAATGCTTTTTGCGTAAGTCCATTTGCCACCACTGACTCACTATAGATCCATTTAGCAAAGGCTTGAGGAAATGAATTATACCCAGTCTGAGCATCAATAATATGCGGCGTCTATTAGGGAGTAGGAACTCACTGATAGCATTGGCTTAAAAAGGATGAGATAGAGCTGAACAAATTATGTTCGGTGTGTTTGCTTTCATCTTGGAATAGATCTACAGTATATAGGCATTTTTTTCATGATGCAGGTAGTGAAAGTGCAGAAATGAATTCCGTGGAATCTAGGCTCCTGAAACAAACCCAAATTATGTGCATGAAAAAAAGAATAAATAACGAATAGGAAAAGATGTCTGCATTTTCGAATAAACGAGTAACGTATAGCGGTAATGACAACGGAAAGGAATGGCTGTAAAAAAAAACCCTCTTGTTGGAATGCCTGTATAGCAGATGTTGTTTTTTCAGGCCCATTTCCACGGCCGTTTTCCACACGGGTGTCATCTGGTGCTTGTGGGGTCGTCGGTGAACGGGTTTGGATTGGACACAAGTGACGCGGACATGTGTCTGATTGTGTCCAACTCTCTGATTGACCAGCGGGACTGGGCACCGCTCATCCTCACGGAAGTCATGCTGGTGTTGCACAGTATTCTGGATTGACGTTTCAGTAAAACCGTGCTTGCGCTGTACTGTACTGTATTGCATTTTTATGCCAATGAAATTCTATGTTTTGCTAGCTGTCCGCGGACTGGTGTACGTGCCTGCCAAGATCCCCTTGGTCAAGTTCACCAACGTGCGCACTGGTATTAACTGCAACAACACAGTGGGCCTGCTCAACTTTTGACTCTTGCACACCTACGCGGACCTGGACTGGCGCATGCAGCCCCTCGTCATGCTTGTCAAACTCTGGGCCCAGCGCAACAGCATCAACGACGCCCGCTGCATGACCACCTTGAGCTACTTGCTGGTGCTCATGCTCATTCACTATCTCCAATGAGAGGAGTGATTTGTTTATTCAATATTTTTGAACTGACTGGATTGGTTATATTGCCTTATTCTGTGTATTATTATTTTTATTGCAGGTGGGGTCTGTCTAGCAGTGTTGCCATCACTGCGGCGGAAACTTCCGGACCAGTTCCATGGCAGCAACTGTCATGTGCTTGAACTGGACATGCATAAGGAGTTGTTGATGAAGCAAACTGAGAACACGCTGAGTCTGGGCGACTTGTTTGCTCGCTTCCTTGACTATACTTTGCCAACCGGTTCCAATACAACCGTCACGCCATCTCTGTCATTTATTCATATATGACAGAGATATAGTATATTCATTAGTGCGTTGATCACTGGATGAATAGAAAAAGCTTTAAAAAATGAAAGAAAAGCTGCGGAAAAAGCGGGGCAGAACACAGGAGCAAGCATCAGTCAACTTCATCAGTTGGTCTCAAACTGCAACCTCCGAAGAAAATTCTGGAGCAGTAGCTTTGCAACACTGAGTGGCGGGAGAGGCATTCTCCTTGGTCTCCAATACTTTCCCCCTCAGCCGGTGAGCAGTAAGTCAAGCCTATGGCGCCTGCCTGCTCCCTCATCCTCTGTCCCTGTGCGGCTAATGTGTGTTTAAAAAAAAAAGCAAGCAGAAAAAAGATCTCGCCAGTCCCCCTCCGCCCTCTGCCCCATCACAGCTATAGACTATACAGTGTATGCTTGATTTCTGATTATACCCTGCTACTCCCTTGGTTCCCATGAAATTTTTGAAAAGGATGCCGCTGTAAAGATTGAACAAAAAAACAATGCCATTTCAATTTCAATGCAACATTCATTATTGTGTGATGATCAGCATGTTGAATGCACACTGTAGACAAATGGATCTCTCTCCAGCTGACTGGCTCACCGCACATATCCGAGTCTGGCACAGGAAGCCTAGCCAAAAAAGCCAGCCACCTATACTCCAGTAGCTGTACATCTCAAAATGTATAAAACTCAATATATTGTGATGATTTCTGTTTGATTGGAAATTGATGAATGCGGGAATTGTTTCTTAGTTCTAGTTTATGAGAGAGGAATCATGCTTGAAAGAACTGCTGGGCTGGACCCAACTCTCCTCTCCACGTCTCACTCACTTTGAATAGGAGTCGACTCCAATGCTTGCATGGATCCAGTTCGAGAATTGTCAATGGATCCTTGTGTTGAGTTGGCTGTGTACGTTTATGTGTTGCCCCTGGAAGAAGGGGTGGCAACAAATGGTTCCAACAAGATACCACCAGCCTCTACTACAACCACGCAATCATCCTCCACTTCGTCTACATCTGTGGGCGGCAGGTCTTCTGCCATTGGTCTTCTCCAGCCTACACCAACCACTGGGGGCCACCACAGATTTTCACCTGATGCCATGTGTGGTTCCTTACCACCTGCTTCCCTCACTGAAACCTACAGGTAATTTTTACATCATTCTATTTTATTGCATAAATACCTCAATGAGCTGTGTATAAGAATATTGTATATCCATGTGCTGTAGGATGCAGACCACTATTCTCTCAATGAAATTGGATTATTTCAAAATCTCCCACAAATTAAAATGCGTAATTATCTTAAATTGAAGATTTACTGGTATACTGCACCATTTTTTCTGGTGTGTTCCATACTTGAATCATAAATTCAGCTTTTATTTGAACTTACAATCAAATTAAACTTTCTTGTGGGTATTTTGAGCATGCGGTTTTTTCAGTAAAATGTGATATTGAATTTGGGTATCATTAACTGGATGCTCAAGTTTCCTTGACATTTTTTGTACATGCTTACTCCAATGTTTCAGCTCATGGTTTGTGAGAGGTTGAGATTCACATTGATCCTGTGCTGCAAAAATAGTTAATGAGTCAAAATTATTTTTGAACAAAATGTCTTTTGCTGAGTTACAATTCTCCTGCAAATTGCCACAAGTATCAATTTTTTGGCAGGCAAAAATTTGATGATTGATATAAAAGAGCATAAGCTATCAATTGTTGCTTGAGAAATAGTTATAAATTTTATTTTGGATTGTTATCTTTTGTGCAGAGGAGTGACACCTGCCAGCAGTTTTGCAGCAGCCATGACACCAGGGGTACTTGGGCTCCACAGTGGTGTCTTTCCACATTATGCAGCTGCCAGGCAACAATCTGGGCCTGCCACAATCCCAGATATGGTGATTTGGTTACCACCATGGCATAGCATGGGTACCACCATTGGCACCACCATGACATTTCCAAGATCCATTGTGTCTCTTATGCCCACTACCACCACAACCACCCTCATCACCATCCAGCCCATTCCTTTGCTCACCATCACCAGCATTATTCTTCTCATCCCACTTCTCATGGTTTGTACAATGCTTATTCTTGTTGAAATTCCGTAGATTGGAGCATTATTTAATTTTTACTTTCTCTTCTCAGGATTGTCGACTGCAGGCTTGTCAGTGCCATTTGCTTTCGAGAGTCAAGGGGATTCTGCAACAAAGGAACTGAAATGCTGGTCAGGACTTCAATGAGACATGTGCTGGTGAATGAAGATTAAGAGGAAGGAAGAAGATTTTGCACATGTGCACCTTTCATTAGGAAGGGAGAAAAATGTTTCACAACAGTTATATTTTCTGGTTTGTTGCTGATTGTGTGTCATTGTTTGAAAAGGAAACAAGGCATGCTAATGCATCCATTTTAGGCTCTTCATAAACAGAGGACATTTACAGTTTTGATACTTTCACTTGGTGTTAACTGTTTGTTGCAGCAGACATTTATTTTTTTTCCTTGTCAAGAGTTGGTATTCTTTTCAATGATGTGATATCCCCATACGTTTTGAAGTACGCATTTTTTATAATCTCTTAGTGCATTTCTACTATAGCCTGTAATTTTGTCTATTTTTTAAAAATTCAGTGAACAATCTTAAATTTCAGATTGGTATTTCAGATGATCTCTAGTGTACTGGGGATCTGTTTCATGGCTGACATGCAAAAATATATATCCTGATGTAGTCATGAAAACAAATCAACTGTAATCCTAATTAGAACATCAGTTGAAAGAGAAGATAATTTTATATTGTGAGGAACAAATAAATCTCCAGTATCTATAAATCATGAACACTTTTCTTGGTACAGTACTTTCCTGTTATCTCACTACCTCATTCCTAGACTGCACTACCATCCAGACAAATCTTTAGGTCAATTTCATAATCACAACAACCTACCAGAAACTGTGGATTTTATTTTTCTGCATTCTGCTGAAACTGATTTTGGGAGGCAGTTAAGTGATGTTAGGTTAGGTTAGGTTAAATTGGTCAGAGGGAAGGTACAGAGATAACAGGAAAGTACCCTTTTCTTTTACACAGTAATTTCCATCAATATCCTAGTATTCAATCATCAAAAAATTTGCTTTGACTCTGGAAGTGGATGAATGGATACCATTTATAGATGCTCACTCCCTCCAAAGAACGACATCAGGAACTGCGACACACATGATGAGTGTTGCTGTTCTTATGAGTGTCACAGCTTGGGAACCACAACACCTAACCACTACAACTGAACCACGACTGTCAGCTCTCATTGGTGTCATGGTAATTGAAATAAAATTTTTGCATAGAGCTCTCTCGGCGCTTTGAAATGCACTATAAAAAGTTGCATTCATCAATTTTTTAAAGTTCTTCCAGCAATTTTCTTTCAACAGAAAAGTGGCTGTATAACCCTTAAGAATAAGGATACAGTAAATTTAATTTTTCAGTGCATTTTAAAGCTCTCAATGCCTGACTGTTACAGATGCCTCATTTTTTTGGCTTACAAAACGCAGTTAGTGTGCGGGGCTAAGATATTCCCATCTTGCTTAGGACAGGGTACCTTGAAATTTGCCACACTGTAGTATGATGCATGCCAAAATACTTGCCCAAAATGCTGATTCTACTACTGGGACGTCCAGACACTACAGATACTTTTCTCGGACCTCAAACGAATGGATTACACAGCAACAGGTCAGTTCTTTGAAGCGTTTGTCGCTCAAGTAAACGCGCAAGTCCCCACAGTGACTTGCGGAAAATTTATAAATTATCTCCAATAGTGCCCTGAAATATTTCGTTGAATGGAAGGAAAGAACACAAGGACGTATAGTGATGGAAATCCTGGCAGCAGTGCTATTCAAACCGTTGACGTGAAGTAGGGATCCCCATTGTACATTGCCATTGCCCGCACCACACGAGGAATCCTTCTTCAGCAAGTAAAATAGCGAAAATGGATTCTGCTTCAATTTTCAAGACATCAAGAAAATTTTCGAAAAGCTCGAAGCCTCTTGCCCGTACGTTACGGGGTTAGCGGGAATATCATACCGTTTGCCAAAAACTGCGCGGTTCCAGAAATCCCGGTTGCACTTGTTATCATTCTTTTGTACAGCACTGTGATTTATTCAAATGCACGTACCTTACAGTATTTCCGGGAAATCACCAATGTTAAGGATAGCAAACGGCGCTCCTGAAAATTGTGACGTCATCATCAATATAAGTGAGCATCATGCTGCGGAAAAAAATGAGCATGATGATATTTGGCGTGCAAACTTTCCGATGCCGCCCTCGCTGTGTCGGTTCTGTTTTTAGGCAGAGGACAGTGCCTTGTGAGTACAATGCTAAAAAATTCGACGTTATTGATAAGTAGACGTTACTTACGTCGACTGCGTCTCATGAAATCTTTCCCATCATACCTTTACCGTATCATATACATATCTTTTTTTCACTGAAACAGTCAAGGGTCCACGCTACGGAAACATTGATGCTAAAATTAATACAGAATGATTCGTAGCAAAATTGCATCAATTTTGGCAAGAACAGAAGAGACCAAACAATTCTCGATTTTCAGAGACCTGTGATCACTGTTTGTGTGTGTCCGGAAATTCGTTATTGAAAATGAAATGTTAATGTGCAGTGCTGCTAGGCATCCTCAAATATACTGTATTGCCGCCTTTTAAGACTCATCACATCAGCATGCCATACAGGGATTGCTATTTTCCTATGGAAATTAAAAATAGGCATTTGAGCCTATGAAACAGAAAAGATTTTATCCATTTGAAAATCTGATGAAGCTCGGTTCAAGCTTCGGATTTCATCTTGTCCCTGTCATTTCATTCAAAAGCCAGAACAACAAAATTTTTTCAGAAATGCAGGCGACCCCTATGCAACAACAAGAAAATTGACTAGTTGTGGATTCCCGGCATATATTACAAAAAATAAAACATTGTATTTCATAATACTGTACTGTATCTCCAAATCCCAACTTTAATGCCTCAAAAGTATTGTAATGACTGAAGAAAA